CCAAGTCTGGTCGCCGGAGGGGGAGGAGGGGATGAACCCCCTGGAAGGGCAAAATCGGGGCTCCCCCCTCCCAGCTGCAGGAGCGCGCGAGCCGGGGGGCTTGCAGGGCTCGGGCTCCCTGCTGCTTCTGACGGGCGCCCACGGGACCGGGTTTAGGGTTCCCTTGGAATTGTGAATGGGAAGCCTGCTGCCTCCGAGCCCATTGGTTCCCCTGGAGCCACGTGACTGCCCCCTTGCCTCTTTCTTCCCCCACGGCAGTCAGCCAAGAGGATCACCCAGAGATCAATAAATACAAATCAATAGTGGGGGGAGGGGAGACGGGGCATCCTCACCCAGCTATGCGGGGAGGAGGCCAGTCTCTGGTTTTCTGGAGCCTGCCTTTGGGTGAGGGGAGAGAGCAGCTGTTTTATTCTTAGGAGATCAAACCAGAGGGAGGGCGTCGCTTTCTAGAGCGCTGATTGCAACCTCTCACATATGTCTAATATAGGCAAAGATGAAAAAAATAAAAAACAGCTGTAAGGCTCCGAGACGAATATAAAGTATCACCTATCCGCTTAGCAGTAGCATTCCTGAGAGGTGTGTGCACAGGGCAATTAGTACAGCCTTATGATTAGGGCTCATAATAGCACGGTGGGCTTCTAAGCCAGTGCTGTCCTCCAGTCCCAGTGACATGATGCACCCTAATCAGGGCTGTACTGATTATAGTATTACTAAACATCACTAACACTAGTCCCCTTCCATATTCTCCATAGAGCTCTGCGATGAGATGCCAGGTAGAAATGTGCATGCATTTATACCGCTGTGTATAGATAAAAGGGGCATGACTGAACAGAGCCTTACATACTTTTAATGCCCTTTACATGGCTACCTCTACACTGCACGATTATTTCAGAATAAGCTATTCTGGAATAAACACTCCAAAATAGCTTATTTCGAAATAGTGTGTCTACACTACAGGGAAGCCTGGAAATTAGCGGGAGGCAGGCTCCCCTAATGTGGACGTGCTGCCTTGATTTAGGGCCCCAGGAAACCCCTGGGGAATAATTACTTTGAATGGCCCTGGGGGGAGGAGCTATTTCAAAATAGCCAAAGTGAAGCATCCACACGAATGTTATTCCAAAATAGCTATTTCGGAAGAGGCATTATTCCTTCTGGAATGCAGTTTACAAACGCCAAAATAAGCTGCCCGTTATTTTGAAATGATTTCAAAATAACGGGCTAGCTGTGTAGACGCTGGCATAGTTATTTCGGAATAACCCTATGGGAGCAAGTGGCAAATGAATGTGGAGAAAAAAATGCAGACTGATATTTCAAAGGGGGGATATTGGATGAAGGGAGTTTAATTATGTTTTAGAGCTAGTTTATGAGATGCTGGTATGGGTAGGGTTCTGGAAATAGTGGGCGTGCATAGCCAGAGATGGCTACATTTCCAGACCGAACTGATGGTATCGTATCCACTAGTGTTGATCTGATATCGAATGCAACAGCTTCTGTTACTCAAATTTCCCGTTTTCAGTAGGAGCCATAACAAAACAAATTTGAAAAAAATAATGAATGTCAAAAGAAATCGCCATGATTGTGACCTCTAAAGCAGGATGGGGAGGGAGGAGAACGAAACACACCAGAGTTTCATGGCATTAGCGTCTTGGTTCTTTATATTTCTGCTATCGATAGTTTTCAGGGTGGCTATTAGTGTGGATCCACCGCTTTAAGTTCCAGGCTGAGATATGCAAGAATGGAGGTTTTGGGGGACCAAACAACTCGAAGCTTCGTTACTTCCGATATAAAAAAATCACTGTGTACAAATGAGCTTCTTTCTATATTTGATTCACTTTTATCTGAATCTGCGGTCACTGAAGGGCGGAACGGAAGGAGAAACTAGTTAACCTATGAGGAAAAAATGTCAGCAATGAGGATTTTTTAAAAAGAGACATTAAACTTTCAAAGATTAATTATAACGTGACCATTACATTGACACTCAGAAACTCAGAATAGTACAAGTTTCTTAAATTACCTTTGTTTTTCCTTGTGTTTTCTGAATACGTCACATATAGACGACCAAAAGGATGGAATAATAAATACGTTATTGACATATATAGATAGATCGTAGAAAACAAAAGTAGATCCTGGAACATATTACAGAGGTAGATGAAATTTGTGGGTAGACATAAAAGCCTTCTGTTTAGATTTTCTAGGTTTTTATTATAATAGAAAACGTTTGCTCACTTGTGGTTCAAGCTTGTATTCCTTGCTCAGGCTTAATTGTCACTGACTTTAATTGGAGTTTTGAATTCTTCCTTTAGGATGCAGAATTTGCCCCAGTTCTGAGTTCTCCAGACCAGTCATCTCAACCTTTCCAGGGCAGAGAAGTTTCGAACTTCCAGCTCCCCCCCCCCCGCTTGGGGTTTTGTTAGCTTGCCCGACTCTCTAGTATGTTTCGGCTTCCCTAGGTGTTTGTTTTACTTATCAAACAACTCTCGAGCACTAACAAGTTTGGACTAAAGAGCAAAGGAGCCAAAGTAGCCTCCCCCTTTGTGTTTCCAAAACAGAGGAAGAAATAGAGAAAAAAAGATTCGCTTAAGCTGCAATAAAATAAATCTAATCGATTTTAGCTTCCATTAAGATCACATTAGCGAGTGGATTTGGGAGATAAGGGCTGATAAGGTGCAGGACCTGGAGAGTGGAGACCACCCTAGCTCTTGGAGGGAGCTCTGTGCTTCTGGCCTGGGGAGAGGTTTCTCTGGGAGATAAGAAAAATTTACCAAAGTAGCTGGAACTCCCTGCTGAGAACGTGGTATCCTATACTTTGAGGACTACTTATTACTTACTGTCAGGAGCCCTGAGATGTTCTCTAGACTATGCACAACTATTGCAAAGGAAAGAATCAGTTTTCTACTCCCAACTGCCTGTGTGCCTCAGTTTCTCCTACTGTAAAATTAGCACAGTGATTCTTCCCTCTCATGAATGGCGGTGAGATCTTGTGTTACTAGTTTGCAAAATGCCAAGGGACACATTCCCTGCAAACGTTCTTCTGAGTGTTAATTTACTGATATTCTCTCACCCACCCCTATTTTCCTCTAGTGTTATGGCCAATGTATGTGTTCATATTTTAAAAAATATGAGGTATATAGGTTCTTTATGGTATTCCCGCATCTGGCAATTTCTGCCATGTGGTTAGAATGTAGGTCATCTTACTAGTCCTGCCTCTTGTTGCCTTAAAATAAATGGCAAAGAATCCCCTATCCCCACAGGAATAATTAATAGAAATAAAACACCTGTCTCTTTAGATGTTATAATGTTGCCCATCACCATAGTATCCGAGCACTGTCCATGAAAAGTACAGACAAAATCTCTCTCTTTCAGCCAAGATGACAGGAACAAGCTTAAAAATTATTGGGCCTGATTCTGCACTGAACTATGACAGTGTAAATCAGGAGTAACTAATGAAGCTAAAGGATTCATATAAGGTGCATCTACAGTGCACCGTTATTTCGAGATAACTAGCATTATTTTGAAATAGCAATGCGAGCGTTTACACAGCTGTTCCGTTATTTTGAAATAATTTCAAAATAACGTCCGGCTTATTCCAAAATCTGTGATCCTCATTCTACACAGAATAACGCCCATTTCAAAATAGCTATTTCAAAATAAGGGGTGTGCAGATGCTCCACTGCTGCTATTTCGAAATAGCCCCTCCCCAGGGCATTCTAAGTTATTCCTCCCCAGTGTCTCCTGGGGTTCTAAATCGAGATAGCTCGTCTTCATTAGGGAAGCCTGCCTCAGACTAATTTTGAGGCTTCCCTGCAATGTAGACATGCTAATTCAAAATAAGCTATTTCAGAATAACTATTCTGAAACCGCTTATTTCAAAATAAGCATGCAATGTAGCTATACCCTTAAGCTACGTCTACATTGAAAAACAAGAGTTTTTCTTGTGCAAAAACTCTTCCAGAAGAGAGCGTCTGCACTGGCATGTGCTTTTATGCAAGAGATGTGCTTTTGCGCACGAGCATCCATGCCAGTGTAAACGCTCTCTTGTGCAAGAAAGCTCCGATGGCCATTTTAACTATAGGGCTTTCTTGCACAAGAAATTCATGTTGCCTGTCTACACGGGCCTCTTGTTCAAGAACAGTTGCACAAAAGGGCTTATTCCTGAGTGGGAGCATCAGAGTTCTTGTGCAAGAAGCCCTGATTTCATACATTAGAACGACAGTTTACTTGTGCAAGAACTTGTGGCCAGTGCAGACAGGCAGCTTTTGCGCAAGTTCACGCCAATGTAGACACAGCCTTAGTGACAAGCTGAGGCGAGGGGTGTTAAGGCCTATTGTTTATTATTAGCTGCTTCCTAGGATGTTGCAAAGTTCACTAGTTATATTTGCAAAATTCTATGAAGATGAAAATCTTGATGCAAATTCTGTCTGCTAGCTGGATCCTGTAACTCTTCCATGAATAACCATCTATGAATAGTCCTCTCAGCCACTTCAATTGCATGAGTACACATTACTCAGCTGAATAAGGGCTGCAGGGTTGGGTCTTCCCACACACTGAGGCCCAGGGTCAGATTTTTTCAAAGTCCCAGGAGTGCTAGAAGTGTTGCAGTGGGGTCTGCAGGATGCAGAAGCATTTTCCCCAAACTGGCTCTTGTTTCAATGTCTAAATAAGAACCAAGCTCTGCAGAAAATGTGGCCTTTCTTTGAGCCTTTGTCAATCGGTCTCCCAGAGTCCAGATCTAGAATCATAGGGTTGGAAGAGACCTCAGGAGGTTACTGAGTCCAACCCAATGTTCCCTCTAATCTTTTCCATTCATGTGCGGAATAATTTTTATTTGCACCAAGGCATGTGTGAATAGACCCCACTGGAGAAACACATTCATATTGTTTAATAACA